TATGTCCTGCTCGCACTCATCGACTCAAACGCACTGGTCCGGACCTTTCTCTCCTCCTGCCGCCCCCCCCCCTTTCCTTCTACCACTCCGGCGAGTGTTTTCAAAAATGATCAAACTTTGAACTATAATGCAAAAACCACTGCTGACCGATTTCTGAACCCCAAGTACCTTCCTAAAACTATTCACACCCTAAAAGATTAAATTTAGGGATCGAAGACTGGAAATGCAGGGTGGTCCCCCCTTTATTTTGCCTATATTGTACCGGATGCAGGCGTGCGGCCGGGTTGCATACTCGGACGGGGCCGCTTATTTACAATCCATCCCATGCACAGCACAGTATGACAATTTAGGCGGTGCGCGCGGTCCCCGCGGCTCGCCAGTGGCTAAGTCCCAGCCGCCACCCTAAGAAATACCCAAACACCTTGATTTTTCCGAGGAAACGTTCTGCCTTGTTAATTTTTATTATATATTGGGCCTTTGGTCATACCTGGTGCGAGAAATAGTCTGTGTTATGTCTGAAATACGACTTCCCGAGCGATTTGTTGTGTCTCATAACCTTTTTGTACCTTCGTGTATTTCTATTTATTACTGCAATTTTCGCAAAGCTGCCGTTATTTATCGATGTTCTACATAAACTCATGTTATTCAACTTAAAATGACTGCAATTTCTCAAGCTGTCAACGAGATCATTGCCTTGATTTCTTCAAACATCAAAGTGCCATTTAACAACCAACCTGGGTTCATTCTTTACATCTTTAAGACAGTCATCTATTTATCTCACACTTTCCTTTAATAAGTTCAACCTTGATTTGGATGTAACCATCAGCTCTGTCTGTACTGATGCAGAAAGAATCACCTGCTAAATGTGAATGTGCCATGCCAAACGATATCAAACATTAGTTGTTCGAAAACATCATTAAATGCATGCTGGTTTGTTGACTATTATAAAAGTTTAGGTGTATAGTAATAAATAGAATGAATAAACTGCTATATTGTTTCTTTAAATTTTATTGTATTAAAATGCATGCATCATTAAAAACTTGAAAATTTGTCACTTTGGCTCTTATCATTTAAAGCTTCAAAGTTAAAAATATTTAGTCTATTCTGTTATGACTGACACCTTGTTGCAACTAACAACAGCAATACAAATTTTCATATAATTTATCTTTTCACTGAAACTTTTATTTAATAGTCAACAACTAGCATGCATTTATTGATGTTTTCGTACATCTCATGTTCTGATGTCGTTTGGCTGGCATGGCACATTCACACTTAGCAGGTGATTCTTCCTGCAACAGTAAAGACACTGCTATCTTCTAAACTAAAGTACAAAAGTAAAAAAAATCGTTTCAGTTGTTAAATTGTACTGACATGACATTCTTTTTAACATAGGCACATTAGAGGTATGTGAAGTGGTTCCTGAGAAATGCCTAATTGTGTGTATTTTTTAATCACAATTTTCCGGAACCTCACACGATGAACTTTTTGATTTACAATAGCCAACCTCGGCTTACAATGAACCTAAGGTGAGGAGGAACAAACTTATGTTCACGAATGTTTAATTTTGTTCAGACTTATATATTACAGATTCAAAAAACTGAAATTTTGGGAAATTTCTTTGAAAAGAATTTTAATGTTGGTTCCATCTACATTGTTCATGTGGAAGTATGAATTAAACTTACAATTTAGAAACATACGTTTGTACCTATTATCCTTAGGTTCATTTTAAGCCTAGGTTGGCTATTTTAAAACTAAAAGTTCATCGTGTGGACTTCTGGAAAATTTTGATAAAAAAATACACATATTTGGGTATTTCTTGGGATCAAGTTCACACTTCTGACATTTTTCTATGCTAAAAACTAAGTTATTTCAATACTATTTGAACCATTAAAACCGTTTTTAAGTTTAAGGTTTGGTTTAGGAGATTGCATTTTCACTTAACAATTGCCTTTAAAGAAAAGTGTGAGATAAATAAACTGTCTTAAAGATGTCAAGAATGACCCCAGGTTGGTTGTTAAAGGGCACTTTGACGTTTGAAGAAATCAAGGCAATGATCACGTTGACAGCTTGAGAAATTGCAGTCACTTTAAGTTGAATAACATGATTTTATGTAGAACATCGATAAATAACGGCAGCTTTGCGAAAATTGCAGTAATAAATAGAAATACACGAAGGTACAAAAAGGTTATGAGACACAACAAATCGCTCGGGAAGTCGTATTTCAGACATAACACAGACTATTTCTCGCACCAGGGATGACCAAAGGCCTAAAATATAATTAAAATTCACGAGGCAGAACGTTTCCTCGAAGAAATCAAGGTGTTTGGGTATTTCTTATATTGGCAGCTGGGACTTAGCCGCTCGCTGGCGAGCCGCGGGCCGCGGGGGCCGCGCGTACCGCCAAATTGTCATACTGTGCTGTGCATGGGATGGATTGTAAATAAGCGACGGGGCCATAAGGCGCCGTGGTGAGCGATGGTAGGCTAGCCCGCTTGAATGAGATACAGTACAAGCAAAATGAAGGAAAGGGTCTGTGGACCAACCTGTATGCATCTTACTATAAATGGCGAGAGGTCAACTTTGCACCTCAATTGCAGGGGATGGGTATGAGGTGGCGTCATTATTTCTTTTGGAAAATTGGAACAGTGGCTGTGGCTATGACCTGTACAAAGGGCAGACGCCCATCTCGCTTCCGATGCTGAGATATGAGTGTCTAAAGTGTGCTTATTCCATTACCGTACGTGTCCGTGCGTAACGCTCCTCGCGTCCGTGCGTAACGCTGGTTTTTCCCTTGTAGAGCGCGAACGGGTTAGAATATGGCAACCGTGCAAATACTGCTATGTAGAGACATCTCTAGGCTACCCACCCCTACTCTGTCTGTAATTTTAAAGCCTCTCAATTCGCAGAGTTTGGGGCAGAACTAGGGCCATGTGCAAAACGACTTCCGTTTTTTGTCCGTGCGTAACGGCCTCTTCACTTATTTATAAAATCTAAACGGATTATCGCAGAGCAACCGTACACATATCATCGGATAGCTCTCCAAATGCTCTTTAAAACACGTCTTTAGTCGATGCGATTCGCTTCGATCTTCCCTTCCAAAACTAGAATAAACGAGTGATTTTTGCTTACGAATGTCCGTGCGTAACGCCTAGAATTGCCCATGGGTAATCAGGCCAAAACGTTACACATTTGGCCTGTGGCTCAAACTATCAATCTTAGACAAAGGCCGTTATCAAAAACGTGATCTACGCTAAAAACCGAGTCAGACGACATGCCGCTTGTCAAAATCCCTCATCTCGTTTAGATTTTAAAATTTGATAAAACAACTAAAAATAACACATTTTAACGAAAAACCGATATTTTTTTTTACGGAACGCGGTGACGGAATTTGACAAGCGGCATGTCGTCTGACTCGGTTTTTAGCGTAAATCACGTTTTTGATAACGGCCTTTGTCTACGATTGATAGTTTGAGCATAGGCCAAATGTGTAACGTTTTGGCCCGATGACCCATAAGAAACTAATGATAACTTTTAACCGATTTCGGGAGGGTCAAATATTGTCCGATCTGGCTGAAATTTTTTTTGAGAGCGTTTTTTATGGATTGGTACGAGATGGGCAATGTGAACTTTAACATTTTAACAAAAAGTTTTTCTTGGTCTACTCTAGCCACAAGGTGGATTCAACGTAGAACTCGAGTGGACTGAACTATGGAGATTATTCACCGTGCAGTCCACGTCGATTTGG